AGAAGGGCCCCTGGAATGCCGTCTAAGCTGGCAGCTGAGGACTTGGCGGTGCGGCAAGCTCTTTGGTAGCTGAAGAGGGTAGGGAGGAACACTTCATCATACGTGATATCGTGTGTGAGTTCCTGAGGAAGGGATGGGATACTTCGCGCAAATGTGCTGGCGTCATCAACTGGCACCACCACTCCCACTTCTTCTGCTGCAAAATGACGCAGCCATCTGTCTGCTGCTGCTTCATGCGTGGCAGCCATGCTGCCATCCTCTAGCTCTAGAATGGGTAGGGCCCTGGTGTTCACTTTCTTGGACGAACCGATTCCCATAGCACGTAGTTTGGCAAACACCTGATCATACTGCCTGCGATCCCAAGCATCAGAAACTCCCTGCACCAGGTTGTTGTAATGATGCAAGGCATCTTGCATAGTCGCATGTCGGATCAGTAGTGTAGTGTGAATTAACAGCAGCTCACGATGTGCTAGGGCACAGGCGCGCACTCCATGCGCATAGTCCCAGCAGCACGTAATGTAGTCCCATATTCCCGTCTCCGTCCCATGCCCCGTCTGATACTCCTTTGGTCTGAAAGGGGGAGGTAGAATGATGGCCGTGACCCCTTGCTGTCCCCATTTAGCAAGTAAGCGTGGTTTGCCTATGCCTCTGCCATTGCCTTGCTGCCTGCGAATATCCGCTTCTCGGCACAAGAGAGATGCCGTTGCTTGCGGAAGGAGGAGGCATGGCTGCTGCATCTGCCGTGTGCGTCTCACTAAGGTAGGCAGGCATGGCATGCGCCGCGACCTTCTGCTGCTATGGCCACGTGGCCTCTCATGTTCTGCATCCGTCGTCGCAAAATGCAGCTGCCAGGCGAAAAAGATGACTCGCACCATGGCTCTGTGAGCTTGCAGCCCGATCTTGCGAGCTAGGCGTAAGTATATACTTCGCTCGTCCTGCATAGCAAGTGTGCTGACGCTGATCCATGACTGCCGTGGTTGCCGTCCCGCTGCCGTCGTACGTACTGGGAAGGCTGTGACCATGGCATACCTCACGTATTCTTCACATGTTTTGACGTGATCTGTGCTGTGTACTGCAAAGTCGGGGTGTCGGAATTGCGACAGCAGATGTTGGAATACACTGATGGACACTGGATCCTTGTACATGTCAGGATCGTGCTGCACCTTGTATGGCCTCGGTGCTGTTGGCACAAAGCTGGATGGCGGGAAAAGTAAGCATGCTGCCACCACGTTGTGGTCTGGCTGCGTGACTGTGAGGTCGATGCCGTGATCGACTCCTTGCGCAGGCACACGTATGTCAGCGGACACAGCTATGTAGTCGCGCCTCTTAGGTGTGGTGCGTGCTCCCGGTGCCGTCCAGGTACCCGCGGATCCCGATGGGTCTTCATAAAAGGTAGATGGAGCCCATTGGGCTGTGCCCTGGAGAAACATACGAAAACTGTGCCCAGGCAGGTTTTCAGGCTCAGCATGTATGGGCCCTACATGTGCGTCCGTGTATGACCCAACTGCTGCATTGGCGTCAATCAGTGTGATCACATGCTCTGCCGTACCCCTGTGCTGTATAATAAGCTGCTGCAGTTGTTTCCACCACTGTCGTATGTGTGCTGGGGGTCGGCGCGAATGCGGAGCATGAGCAACACATACACAAAGCGAAAGTGAAGGGGCCCTCACGGCCACGATCATGATGTCAGGCGCTGCATGTAACACTTGGCAGTGAGAAGGCTGTACCCTGCATCCCTCCTGGTATTCCCAATGTGTGTTGACCCATACAGTACATCCATCCCCTCCGGAGTCGTTAGCCTGGGCGTGCAACAGGAAGTACGGGCCGAGCTCGGATGTGCCTGTCCGCCTGAGACGCGTCTCAACTGTGCCTACTATGAAGTAGGGCCGTTGCGCAAACTGCCCCGCCAGCTGCATCATGCGGCCTGTGGCGTTGAAACCATGAAACTTATCGTGTGCCTGTCGGGAACCCTTGTAGGCTCGGGGGTCCAGCGAGAGCACATTGGCCATGGCCATCCAGCCCATGGCAAAGACATGTCGGCCTCGTATGGGTCTCTTGGGGCTCGGTAAAATTTCCCGAATGCCCGTAGTGGGGACTTGAGGCGTAGGGAGAGGCATACCGTGGTTGGGTGGGTAAGCCTGTCGTGTGCTGGAGTCGGAGAAGAGTAACCAAATCCAGGGTAGGGCCTTTTGGTGGGGGTCCTGATGTATAAGGGATCTCCACGCTGGCTCAATAAAATCGGGCAGTACACGCATGGCATATAAACGTGCAAGCGTGTCCACGCACTCGTTCCACGGGTGTGCAGTGTGTCCATGTACATGTTCATACGTCACCGCAATCACACAGGCTCGTATGATCTGCGTAAGACTGTCAAGTAACGTCTTAGCAGGTAACAGCACGCCGTGCACATACCCTCCTTGGTAAATACGCAACACGTCCATGTTGTCAGTGTAAAAACATATCGGGGCCTGCCTGCAACACGATGGTGCTTGCAAAAGCCATGCTGTGGCCCAAATGGCCGCTTCCAGCTCGGCTCTCAACGGGGTTCTCGCATCAGAAGCATCCCATCCCTGCAGAGGGCCAGCAAGGAATCCTAGGAAGGAAACTCCGAAAGTGGTGACAGCGAGCACACAGAAAGCCCATGCTGGCGAGCACGTCTGTCCCTGATGTTTGAAGGTCCCTGCCGTCGCATCTGTGTATATCCTGAGATGGTCAATCTGGACCTTCGGGTCAAAAGGTATGAGACTGGCAAAGGCCGACACTGTAGAAGAATGCCAAAATTGTGCCCACGACAACAAGTCATTGGAAAGCTGAATGGGCCATTTCTTCTCTAATAACTTCTTGGTGGAGTGGAGCGGCGGGATGGGAGAATAAGGAGCACCTGTCGTTGATTCCACTGGATTGCTGCAAATGTGGTATCCGAGGTGTTCCGAGCAATTTTCCTTTGTCTTGTCCTCTTCACTGGGGAATGGGCTAGCTGGAAAATCTGGATCTTGGATGGGAGTATTTGAATTCAGAGGGGGCCGAGACGCTTCTGACACGGCCCCTAGCGAAAAAGTGGGCTCGCTGGTGTTGCGCTGACTGGCGGAAAAACAAGCGCCTGGGCAACACTCGCAGGCGACTGCAGGGCCGCATGATCACTATCCTCTGCGGCAGCTCTGGCTGCCGCTTCCTCTGCAGCCTCACGGCTTGCAACTTCTCCTGCACCTGCGCCCATGGTTCCTCCGCCTTCTCGATCAGCTCGTAGGACTTTGGCCCCCGCCTGTCCACTGTCCGTGTGCCGTCTAGGAGATACCGAACGTGTAGCTCTGCGCCCCATCAGGGCCGCCTCCAGCTTGGCTCGGTTGGCCTTCTGGATCTCCGCTGGCACCGGTTTGTCCTTGTCCTTCTTGGGGGTCTGCATGGCGACTGCCGTCTTGGCCGCGTCGATGGCGGCAGCGGTGATGGTCTCCATGTCCGACTTCTTCTCAGTCCTGATGTTGGCAATCTCAGTCTGGAGAGTGGCCACGGTCTGCTGGAACGATGACATGTTGTGCAACATTTGTGCATTGGACTGCTGTATTGCTGCCAAAAGTGCTGGCATGCTGACTTCATTTGCCATGGCCACTGCAGCGTGCCCTCCAGGCGGTACCTGCGTATTGGGCGAGGCGGCTTGGGAGCGCGGTGTCTCCTGTCCGCCAGCTGCTGTGGCTTGGGCAGGCGTTCCCGAGGCCGCGGTAGGAGTAGCTGTCGTGCGCTGCACTGTCGCTGTCCTGGGCGGCGTCGTGAACGGTGAGGAACTGGCTGTCGACCATGGTGCTCTGCTGGTTGTTCCTCTCTGCCCTGGGCGGAAGCTCGACTGGGTTCCGTCCATCATGAGCTCGTCATCATCATCGTCAGGAACAGCAATGTTGCCTGCGATTGGTTGCTCGTCATCCAAGTCTTCAAAGTGTTCCAGTAACTGTTCTGCTTGTGCGAGTTCGTCTGTGAGAACTTGACATTGAGTGTCGGCCGCCTCTAGTTGCTCTTGTAGCAAGTGCATCTTCGCCTGGGCGTCCATGAGGCGCTTCTTGCAGCGGCCGACAAACATGCGCTGCTTCGTGATTCTGGCCTGGGGCGACCTGGAATGCATCATCTGATACAATAGTACGCTGTACTCTTCCTGCATGCGGCCCACCTGTTCTTGGTCGAGGTTGAGCGCGGCCGCGCAGTGCAGCTGGCGCTCTATGGACTCCATTGTCGCGGCCAATGCCTTCCTGAAATCCCCCAGCTGCTGTGGGTCCTGTGGCGGTTCTCGCCATCGTCGGTGTGCCTGCGCCGTCTCAGGGGATGCCGGCATGGTCGGAATGATCCCATCTGGGTCATCTTCCATCTGCTTGTTGGCCGTGCTCACCGCGCCTCGCTGTGGGGGCTGCGAGGTGGCAGTTCTACGCTGGCCACGTGGGCGTGACGCCGATCTGGCTCGTCGCTCTCTCCGATCTGAGACTTGGCTGGGATGGCATTTGGCACACACCTGCGCGGCCCATGCATTGTGATATGCACATGCTGGGCATTCCCATAGGCGCTTGTACTTGGTGACTGTCTTCCATGGCGGGGAGCGAGGCTCGCGTTCTCGATCTGAGCGATCCTGTCGTCCTCTGCTGTCACCTCTAGCACGTCCTTTCGTCATGCTGCTGTGATGTCTGCCCAACAATGCACTAGCTGAGGCGATACGTAGCAAGGTCCTGGCCCTGCCTCGTTCGGCCCTGGCACGACGATGCCAGGCCGGCTCGCCTCTGTCACGGCTGGCCCTCCTGCTGCGCGCCGTGGCGGGGCACGCGGGAAGGGCGGGCGCGTCTGGCAGCAGCCCCGGGTGAGAGGTCGCCTTACCTGGTAAGGCACCCGAAATCCTCTCGGGCCGGGGCGGCGGCTGATGAGAAGGTGGAAGGAGGAGGGAGGAGGAGGGAGGAGGAGGAGGAGGAGGAGGACGTCGACGCCGACACCTCCTCCTTCTCCTCCTTGGGAGGCCGCGGCCCCCCGAGGCCCACCATGAAGAAGGTGGCCCAGAATGCGTATCCCGCCCTGGCTGCCGCCGGCCATGGCTCCGCCGGCCGTCGTCCGTCGACGCCGCCGAGGGGGAAATGATCTAGGCCTCCTAGATGGACCTCTTAGATGGGGTCCGAGTAGATGGGGTCCGAGTAGATGGGGCCCATCTAGGAGGCCCATCTAGGCCCTAGGCCTCCTAGATGGGCCTCCTAGATGGGGTCCTAGATGGGGGCCGCCGAGGGGGAAATGATCTAGGCCTCCTAGATGGGGTCCGAGTAGATGGGGTCGAAGGATCGCTCCGCATCGCCGATGCATTGCCGATGCGGCTCGATGCGGAGCCCGATTTGCCTCACGCCGACGTCGCCGATGAGCCGCTGACGTCGACGATGCGTCGCTGGCGCATCGTCGATGCATCGCCGGTGTATCGGCGATGCGGCTCGATCCTCCGACCCCATCTACTCCGACCCCATCTAGGAGGCCTCTAAATGATCAGCGGGGGGGCGACGGGCTCGAGGTTCGATCTGTTCGGAGGTGCTCGTCGGTTCCTGGGCGTTCTACAGCCCCGGGATGCGCTCCAGCGGCTGCGCCTCGCCGGGGGCGTTTGGGGGTGCCGGGGTCGCCCCAGAGGGCCGCCAGAGACCCGAGCTGTGACCAGGGAGCTGGGAGACTCAAGGGGAGAATCGCGTTCGAACGTTCAGGTATGCTATCGGGAGGCCCCCTGTGCCAGTCCCCCCCCGAACAGTCCCCCTCCTGGACTCCACCGCATCCTGCTCGAAGACGGCGGCCGCCCCGCGGGCGGCTCGGCGGGCTTCGGCCTCCAGCAGACGAAGCTGAAGCTGGTGCCGCCCGAGCAGTTCACGCCGCTCACGACCTTCTGCTCGCAGCAGAAGGCGGCGCTGCCGGCAAGGCCTTCTCTCACAACCCGGCGTGGCAGGAAGCAGATCGCCATGGCGGGTGTTCCCCAAGCTGTCGGCCACGCGGAGGCCGCCTCTCGGCCCCAGGGCCATCAGAAACCAAGGGCTCCCACGAGGGCGCGCAGTTATTCGCGCTTCGCGGTCCTCGTTCCTTCTCCCCCTCCTCCTCGTCCTCCTTTTTTCCCTTTGGGGGGGCGGCGCGAGAGCGCGAAGTTATTCGCGCTTCGCGCTTCGCGGAGCGCGAAGCGCGAAGGTGAAAAGGCAGCCCCAGGAGGGGTTGAGACTCCCCCAGGGCACACGTCAGGTGAAACAAACATTGGCGTTGGAGGAGAGGGAACTTTTGCTGTGCCAGCCTGATTGTTTGTGGTACTCTTTTTTGAAAGCGGGGAACCCCACAGCGCATTCGATGATAAGCGTGTGGGTTTGTTCCCCCCCTCGCTTATTTTTGAGCCCGCAGAGCGGAAGTCATGGCGGGCATGCAGATTTGCAATCATTGGGTGTTAAGGGGTGCTGCCTCGACGAGTTTTGGTACCAATCGTTGCCGTGCTTCTTGGCACCATATTGGCGTGTCATCGGTGTCGGACGGCTTTTTGGCTGTCCACTGGAAAGCACTCGTTTCATGTGTCCCAGGAGTCTGAGAGAGAGAGAGAGCATATCATTTGTTCTCACGTGTCCTATCGGGGCAAGAAGTATATGAGGGGTGTCTAGATTTGACCCCGTCGTGGCCCTCGAATCGCACACCGTCTTATGTTTTCATGATTTAAGAGAGCATGGGGCAGGAAACGCGTGAGGGGTGTGCCGAATCGAGGGTTTCGTGGCCTTGGGAGCGCTGCTCACTCGTATTTTTTATATAGCCCTGAGAGCGCAGATCATGCTTTTTTAATTGTCAAAAGGGGAACGGAGGTGCGGCTGCCTTCGGCTGCCCTTTGCGGGTCTCTTGCTGCCCTGTGGTTGCCGTCTTCGGGCTTCTTCGGGCCTCGTCGTGGGGGTAGGATGTGCGGAGCCCATCTTAGCTTGCCTTACGCATCTCCAGCACACCTTCCGTCTCATCTTCTATCCTCGAGCCCTCACACGGTGAAGGCCCGCACGGGGCCCGCCGAATCTAATCGCTTCGCTCACTCCTCCAGCCCACATAGCACCACTGTTGCTATACCTTGGTGTGCGCGATGTGAGCGAGAAGGGCAGTCTGAGCTCCCCGGCGCGTAGACCCGAATGCGGAAGATTTCGGTAGCAAATCGTGGGAGTTTGGCGTTCTCTCGTACTTCAGTTGTCAGAGAGCGCTGGCGTCGGCTAGCGTCTGGTAGTCGATGAGATGGCGCCGACTAAGTGGCGATCCGTGTCGTCTGGCGTCTACCACTCGCAAGACCCAGCAAGGTGGCACGGGAAGCTCCCATGAGATGCCGCAGAAAATATCGTTTGCAACGTGAGGCAGCACGTATCGGCTACATGCTTTCCGCAGCGGTCTGATCAGCCCCGTCGGTCGTCGCAGTTGTTGTTGTGACGTGCGCGCCCCGGGATCTCGACGCCCTCCCTCGGGCTAGTTGTTCCATCCTGGATAGTTTCTGTCACTATCCGGGGGTCGGGAAGCGGCTTCTAGAGGGTGGTTTGCTTCCGATCAGGGGGTGCCCGCCCTAACATAGGCAGTGTCGGTTACGTGTGTTGCCGCTATCTGGCAGAGCACCCAAGTGTTGGGGCAGGAGAGGCCATCGGGCGGGAGGATTAGAAGGAAAGCAGGGGCGAGGTGGGGGGGTGGAGGGGAGGAGGAGGGGGATGGAGAGCGAGGGAGGGAAGAGGGGGGGAAGAAGGGAGGCAGGGAGGGAGGGAGGGAGGGAGGGAGGGAGGGAGGGAGGAGGAGGAGGAGGAGGAGCAGGAGGAGGATGACGAGGAGGGGCTGCGGAGGAAGGAGGACGCGGAGGAGGCGGGGTGGAGTACCAGAGAGAGAGAGGGGGCGAGAAGGTAGGAGAGAGGGAGCAGGCAGGAGGGAGGAGTGCGGAGGGAAAAGGGGCTCCAGGGCCCCCGCGCGCGACCCTCCCCTCAGGCGAAGAGGTCGTTGCTGCTGGAGCTGGCCTCCAGGCTGCCCATGAGCAGGTCCCAGGATGGGGCGCCACGAGGGAACACGAGGGAAGAGGAGGGGGAGCTGGAGGACCCAGAGACTTTCGAGTCGTGAAGTAGGCGAGACGTGGTGCTTTTGCTTGCTGCTTTGCTAGGTTGAGCTTCCAGGGGTCCGTTACCCCGCCTCGGGACTGTCAGTGGGTCGAAGCCTCCATGGGGGTCCACGACATGTGAAACACCTGACGCCGGGGGTATGGGGAGGAGTGGAAAGTGGGGAGTGGATGGGGGGCAACGCAATCAGCTACCACGTTAAAGGTCAGTCCAGGTGGGGATTGCGGGCACCGGCAGAGCAGCGGTGGTGAACCAATACGCACTGTGATTCCGAAGCAGGGGGCGGTAGCGTCGCGGGCACCTGGACAGCAGTGGGCACTCTCTTCGGCGCGAAGGGCTGCGGCACCACCTCGAACGATGTGAACCGAAACGAGGATCGAAGACAAACGAATTTTTGACGCTTCGCGAACCCCAACCAGCCCATCCAGAAACTGCATTGATCAGGGAAGTGTAGGATCACCTCGTGGAACAAGGAGGGGGGGTGGGCAGCCTCAGCCTGAGCAAACCCAGGAGTCAACCACAACTGCTTGTTGGCAGTTGACGTGGATACGTTCGGAGGCGTTTGGGGCTTTCTTGGGGTTCTCTTGGAGTCTTTTGGGGCCTTCTGGAGAGCATGGATGGCCGTCTTGAAGCTATCTCAGAGGACAAGCAATCAAAGAGAGGGGGGGCTTCTCAGCCTTGCCCGTGTCCAGCACGAGATGTCGTCTCCAGGTGGCCTTTCTAGGATGCTCTTGGGGCGCTCTTGGGGCCGTCGTGGAGCTCTGTTGGGCTTCCCCTGGAGCGCTCTTGGGCCATCTTGGTGCCATCCCGAGGCTCGAGAAGGCCATCGGACACGCAACCAGCATTGCTTCCCCTGAACGTTGAGAGGATTTCGGCCTCTTGGGGGGCGCCTTGAGGGTGTCCGTGGGCACTTGGAGCCGTCTTGGGGCGGTCGTAACGCCTCTCTGAGGCGTCTTGGAAGACATATCGAGCCATCCTAGACAATTGTGCGTCATCTTCGAGGCCATCTAGAGATACCTGGAGCCATTTTGGAGCCATGTTGACCCAACGCCTCTCAAGGATTTTCCCAAGATGTTGGCGTTGGGCAAAGGGCGGTTCGCAATCTGCCTTGCCCCTCTGTTGCCCAAACGTCGTCTCTTCGGGGGGTCGGGGGGTCGGGGCGCATCCCTTTGGGGCTATCTTGGAGCCTTCCTTGGGCTCCCTTAGGTTGGGGCCACCCTGAGACTTCAGAAGCCCATCGGAAGCGAAAGTGAGAGTATGTGCAAATCATGTAGGCGTTTGACCTCTTGGGGTCGTCCTTGAGAGGCCCCGTGGGCACTTGGAGCCATCTTGCTTGGATGTTGTGGCCTCTTGGAAGCATGTTGGAGGCCATCTGGAGTCATCATGGGATATATGTGTTGCCATCTTGGAGGCCATCTGGGGCTATCTAGGGCCCTCTTGCAGCCACCTTGGACGCAGTGAACCCCTCGCGCCTCCGTCCAGATCCAGGGGGAGGGGTAGAAGGAGAGGTTAACCCCTCCATGCAGGAGAAGAAGAGAGTTGGAAGAGGAAACGTGGGAGACCACCTGAGCCCATACCTGGTCGGATTCATCAACAGGACTCCGGGTTGCTGATCTAGTGCGGGGGTGGATCGCATGGGGGTTTAAGACTGCGCTGTCTTCGCACGGCACGCGTGGTGGGTGTGCTCGGCACGCGTTGGGGGACAGAACGTGCTATCGGGCGGGGTGGCGTGTGGGGGTTCATTTACCCATCGGTAGCTGGAAACATGCACTTGGGGATCGCCAAAGCGAAATTCTGCTCAGGCGTCTTGCTATTTCAAGGATGGAGTGGTTGACCCTCTTCCTTCGTCTTCATCGTGCGGGTGGAGATCTATCAAGCTGCCAACGCCTCTCTACTTGATGCCTCTGCCCACTTCTCCCGACCGACGGGCACTCGACAACTTGGAAACATGTTCGGAGTTCCGCGAAGATTGACCCGGTCCGCGCCTGGCCTCCTTCCCCACTGCCCTTCGCTGTGCATCCGGCGCCGCCGCCAGCGTGCTTCACGCGCCCGTGTGCGGGGAGAGGGACCCCTCGCCGACACCCAGGAATCTCCCGCGGACCTCCGCCGTTTCAAAATGTCTGGTCTTGCAGAGGAAGCGACGAGGAGAAGGAGGGGGGGGAGGAGATGGAGAAGAAGGACGAGGAAGAGGAATGGGTCGCCGGCGATTCCCAACCCTCGTCTCTCGTATTGGGGCGACCACGCTGTTGCGTGCAAGCTGCTGCGTCCAGCGTGGTGGAGGAGGATTCGGGGACGTGATGGAGGAGCTAAGAGGCAGGAGAAAGTGCAGAGCACCGCAGAGGAAGCGGCGAAGCGGGTGGGGCAACACCACGGGTGTTCTCTGGTGCGAGTTCGGCCTCCCGGGGTTGCAAAAGTGCCCTGCGATGCTTACTTGTGCTGGGCATAGGCAAACTGTCCACGGCGAAGAGCAGCAGTCCGTGAGATGTGTTTCTGTTGTTCGACTGAACCCTGGCTCGGAGGGAAAACCATATGATAAGAAGATACAGACATGAAAGCCGATGTCCGTTCAACCACGAGAAATGTGTGTAACGAAGGGGGATGACGAACATACATAGACTATTGAAACATATGGGTAAAGTTGGAATTTGTGTTTATTCGTTGGTGTCGGCTTGGGTCCCTTTGTGGAGGAGCAGTCCAGAGGCGCGCACACGGCACCCGCGCCCTGGTCAGGGGCCCCCGCATCGCGCGGTGGCCACACCGTTTGGTGAGTTAACTGATCCCCGTGGTGACCGCACGGCTTTCTTGCCTTGGGCCGTCATCCCAGGACGCTTCGGGCAACTGGGGCCTCCAGGAGAGCGCTTTTGTATTCCCGAGCGATAGCGGGCGTTCCCGGGGGGAGACACACACACACACAAAAACAAACAAACAAACAAACAAACAAACAAACAAACAAACAAACAAACAAAGAAAGAAACAAACAAACAAACAAACAAACAAACACACACACACAGCGCAGGGGGCGCCCACGAGGCGCCCACGACCAGCCAGGGGGTGGGGGCCGGTAACGTCACGTTTCGCGCCAGCGCCGTCTCTCCAGGGTCCCGAAACTCCAGGCCTCCCACATGGGGCCCGAGCAGATGGGGTCGGAGGATCGCGCCGCATCGACGATGCATCGGCGATGCGGCTCGATGTGGAGCCCAGATTTCTCCAGGCAGACGGGTCCGACATCGGCGATACAGCGCGACCTCTCGACCCCATCTACTCGGACTCACATTCAGAGGCCTCCCAAGACCGTGCGGCGAGGTCTTTTGGAGCTTCGAAGTCACCGCACCGTCTGCCGCCCCCAGCCAGGCCTCCGGCCCAGCGCCGCCTCGGGCTCGAGCTTTGTCTCCTGACGATCCTCTTCCTTTCGCTCCGGTTCTACGTCAGGCCGACCCCGCCAGGCCTCTCGTGCACATGTTCGCCGCTGGAGCCTTCCACACAGTCTTGCTCAGGAGCGATGGCACCGCCGCTGCCTTTGGCTTAAACGGCGATGGTCAGTGCAGCCTCCCGCCGCTTGCGGAGGGCCAGACCTACACGCAAGTTGCAGCTGGTAGGTTCCACACGGTCCTGCTCAGGAGCGATGGCACCGTCGCGGCCTGTGGTAGAAATTCTAGTGGTCATTGTCAGTGCAACTTTCCAGAGTTGGTGGGGAGCTTGACCTACACACAAGTTGCCGCTGGAGACCGCCACACAGTTTTGCTCAGGAGCGATGGTACCGTTGTGGCTTGCGGTGACAATTCTAATGGTGAGTGCGACATCCCAGGGCTGGTGGGAGATCTGATCTACACGCGAGTTGCGACTGGAGTGAATCACACGGTCCTGCTCAGAAGCGATGGCACTGCCGTAGCTTGCGGTGACAATTCTAATGGCCAGTGCGGATTCCATGAGTTGGTGGGTCGCTTTACCTACACGCAGCTTGCCGCTGGACTTAATCACACGGTGCTGCTCAGGATCGATGGTATTGCCGTGGCCTTCGGTAGCAATGATCATGGTCAGTGTGGCGTCCTGCCGCTGCAGGAGGGGTACCACAGTGGCTTGTATCGCCCTGTCATTTGCACGCAAGTTGCCGCTGGATATAATCACACGGTGCTGCTCATGAGCGATGGTGCCGCAGTGGCTTGTGGCAGGGACAGTGATGGCCAGTGCCGTTTGAACACGCCACCGGGGTCCCTGACCTACACTCAGGTTGCCGCTGGACTTAGCCACACGGTCCTGCTCAGGAGCAATGGCACTGCCGTGGCCTGCGGCAGCAATTCTTGACGCTTCGCGTTTTTCCACCACTCGTCTTCTGAAGGCTTCTACGTGGTCCACCCACCTTGTGGCGTCAGTGAGTTCGTTGCGACAGGCCCCTTTTTGCCTCACCATTGTGCATGGTTTCGCCTTGTGTGTGCTGGTCGCTCGCTCGCTTTCGAAATGTCAGCTCGAGTCTGGCGCCGCATCGGCGACTCACTCTGCTGTCTTCGCACTTGCAGCTCGTGCCCTTCGGTTCGCTGCTGCGCCTATGTGCGTTTGTTTGCGAATTTAGTTCATATTGTATGGTGCATGTGCAACTGCGAGCATACCTTGCTGGTGAGGACGGCTGTCGACATTGATGGCTGGGTTCGCAAAGTCGCTCCGTATATACCGCATCCCGGACGCTGCGTCCGCTCCCTGACATTTGCCTTGGAACCGCGAACCAACAAAATATTCCCACCATTTGGCTGCGTCAACTCGCTGGTTGCCACCGGGATTTTCGGGAATGGGTCTACCAGTTCTTTTCGCCCTTCTGAGCTGACGCCCTGCTGCGCCTGTCTTGCTTTTCCGCTCCGCTTTCCGCTGCCTAGTCGTGGCCCGGCTAGAGTTTTGACGCTTTTTGACCCGCTTCACGAGGCCGCCGACCAAAAAACATGT